CTCTGCCCATTGATGTCCCCAGGCTGAAGGTAACCCCAGTGGCTGCCAACTCGCAAAGATAGGCAAGAAATCACATATCTCAACTGGTTTATTTGCATTTGGGGTGTCAAGTTTGGGGTCTCCCAGGGCCCAGCCCCCAGCAAAGTCCAGTAGACACTTCTCCGGCATGGAGGTTTCAGACAAGGCACTGACAGGAACTCTGGGGGTCAGGGAGAAGCCACCCTGAGGGTGCAGGGGCCCCCTGTTGGGGACAGAAGACACAGTCACCTTAGGCAGGAAAGGTTTTTTTCCCAGAGATTTAGGACAAGATAGAAACCTGAGATATTGGGGGAACCCCAGAAACATGCCAGGTACCCCCTGGGCAGATGGAAAGCTGGCTCTGCTTCCCATGACCCAGGTGACGCCTCCCATCGTTCTGGAGATTCTACAGCCTTGGGAGCTGAGAGTCTGTTCCAAACCAGCTTTCTGTGGGATCTCCTAAAGACAGTGTATAGGACAGGGAAGCCGCTCACCCCAGGCTCCACCCCTGCGAACCAGGGCCACCTCCCAGCGAATAAAATCCTGTCCCCTTCTCTGTGCCCCATTCCTACGGGAGAGGCAGGTGCATCTGTGGGTCAGTGGGCAGCTGAGGAAAGGCTTTGTGAGAAGAGGGAGGAGAAGTGGATATTAGGCACGGGGGATGGAGGGTGCAGCTCAGGACTGGATTGAAGACCCTCAAGCTTGGAGAGCCCCAGAAACTCAGCTCATGACGACTGAACCAGAAGACAAGGCCTCTTGGCAGGCATGCTCACCACCTATCTAGGCATTGGCTTTCAGGATGTAACATTAGCACATGCTCTTCTCCCCAAACAGCAGTTCTGCCGGGCCTGAGGGACCCTGGCCTGAATGTGCTTCTCCCCCAGCAGCAGCCCCAGGCCCTTACAAGGCACTTGCACCTGGAGAAGGGAAATTTCATTTGGAATATGAAAAACAGCCCTTTTTGGCTCCTCCAAGTCCATGAATGCCGTGGGATTCATGGCCATGAGGACTGGGGGAAAACTTGGCACTTAGTTGCCCTGCTTCTTCCCCTACGGCCACCAGCAGTGCCCCACGCTGGCTGCAGGCTTAGTCTTCAGATGGAGACTGGGGACACATTGAAGAATGGGGCTTTGTCCCACCATCCTTGAAGGAGAACAGACACTGCAAGGAGTGGAGTGGTCAAAGGTCAACAGTCTAGACAGTGGCAGCAAAAGAGGCTGGTGTGGGGGGCAGGTTTTCCTCCCCAACTGGGTCCTCCCAAGGGGCATAGGAATGCTGGTGTACATACACCCAAGCTGGCCTAGCTTCCCAGAGCAGAAACTTCTAAGATAACAATAAGGCATTGCAAAACTACTTTTCCAGCTGTCCCCTGAGCAGGCCCTTTCTGCTCTAGAAGTTTCCATGCCAGCAACAAGCAGGATAGCCGAAAATTATTTTCCTTGCTGAAACTATTGCAATCTAATACTTCCCCTAAAGACTGGGCACTGATTAGGAAGCCACGATTTTGTCCCCCATCTGGCCCTCTCTCTCCTAGTGGCCAGGGGACTATGGCTGTTTCTTGACTGGACCAGTGGGCCAAGTGGCACCTAGCCCAGAACCAACTCAAATCTCGAATTCCTCCTCCTTTCCAGCTTTCTTTCTTTCTCTCTCTTTCTCTCTCTCTCTCTTTCTTTCATCTACCATCTTATTTCTTCTTCAAGCTACATACTCACACACACACCACTGACCTTCTTTTTGGCGGCGGAGGGGGAGTCACAGGGGCTAAGAAGAAAGGTGGAAGGTGTAGAGATTCTGGCACTTTAAACCAGATGCCAAAATCACTGTCCCTGTCCCTATTCCCTACCTCAGTACCCCCCACAGGGGCTCACCAGGGAGAGAGGCCCCCTTCAGCTTTTGTATAAGACCCCCACCCAGCATCAGTTCTCACCTGCCCCCCACTAGCCTTCACATCACACCCCTCAGCCCATCTGTCCACCATTAATAATGCCACACCCACCTCTCCTGGCATCTCTCCTCCACACCTGACAAGCTACACCCATTTCACAGATCCATCCTTTTGTCCCATTCTGCACCCCCAATCTGAGACTCTGAAAATGACAAGGGGGAGGAATGGAACCTGGTCCCCCCTTCTCACACACAGATATTTGAGTCTGAAACCCAACAAATGCAGACAGACATATCATGAAGTGAATGGCTGCATTGATTCAAAAGAAAAAGATTAAAAAATTAAAACGGGGAAAAAAAAGCTGGCAGGGAGTGAAATATTTAATAGCTTTCTGATTAAATAAAAATTAGCTAAATGCTCTGCATCATGGACAAGAACAGTATTCCAGCCCGACTCGAGGAAATCTAAAACAAATGCAGGAGCTCCAAATGACACACACACACTTGACAATGATCAGACAGTAAGTTAGGTCTCAAGTTGCTAAATCACAGATAGGCAAAATGAGGACAAAAGAAATATGAAAATGGGGAGTTTGGGGAGTGTGTCTGTGTTACAGTGGGTATCCAGCTAAGCTGGGACCTGACTCACCTCCAGTCCTCACCCCCTCCCCATCTTGTCTAGGTTTATTTTTTCCTCAGAGCCCCAAAGATCAGACTTTTGGGGAACAGAACTAGACGGAGCTTGATGTTATGAATAGGACCTCTGGGGGCCTCCCTGGCCTTGAGCCCCCCACATGCATAAGAGCCACAACTTCTGCTCACAGAAGCCGGCTGAGGGAGCGGTTGCAATGACACCCTCTACACCCAGACTCCTCAGGAGACCACACACTCAGCCTGGGGACCTGAAGGGGTGTTTCTAGCAGAGGTAGGGCTGGCATGGATCATCATTTCAACCTGCTGACCACAGTCCACATCCAATACCAAGCACCCACTCCGAGCCTTCCACCTGTGCCCACTTTCCTCCTCCAGAGAAAGCACAGGGCTCAGAAAATGCCTTTAACTCAGAAACCAATCAACCTGGTTCCCAACTGACATAGCAGTTGAGCAGAGGCAGGAACCATCCCGGGCATCGGAACAGGAGGGAAAGAAGTTGAATGTTTAAGAAAACAGAATAGGCCCTGGCCGGTTTGGCTCAGTGGTTAGAGCGTCCGCCTGCGGTCCGGAGAGACCCGGGTTCGGTTCTCGCTAAGGGCATGTACCTCGGTTGCAGTTTGTCCCCGGCCCTGGTTGGTTGTGCGGGTGGCAGCCACTCGATGTGTCCCTTTCACATCGATGTTTCCCTCTCTCTCTCTTCCTCTCTCTCCCTCCCACTCTGTACAAAAAATGGAAAAATGTCCTCGGATGAGGATAAAAATAAAAAAATAATAAAAAATAATAATAAGAAAAAAGAAAACAGAATAGCCCTGGCCGGTTTGGCTCAGTGGTTAGAGCATCGGCCTGCGGTCCCGAGAGACCCGGGTTCAGTTCCCACTAAGGGCACGTACCTCGACTGCAGTTTGTCCCCGGCCCTGGTTGGTCGTGCGGGTGGCAGACACTCGATGTGTCCCTTTTACATCGACGTTTCTCTCTCTCTCTCTCTCTCTCTCCCTCCCACTCTACCTGAACAAAAAAATGGAAAAAATGTCCTCAGGGAGGATAAAAAAAAAAAAAAAAGAAAACAGAATAAAAATCTCAACTGTTTTTAAAAAAACAACTGGCCCTGGCTGGATAGCTCAACTGGTTAGAGCACTGTCCCAATATGCCAAGGTTGTGGGTTTGATCGCCGGTCAGGGCACATACCAGAATCAACCAATAAATGCAAAAATAAATCAAAGAACAAATTGATGTTTCTCTCAAATCAATTAAAAATATATATTAAAAAATAGCCCTGGCCTGGTAGCTTGGTTGGTTGGAACAAACACCAGGCTGTGGGTTCAGTCCCCTGTCAGGGCACACACAAGAATCAACCAATGAGTGCATAAATAATTGGAACAACAAATTGATATTTCCCTCTCTCTTCCTCTAAAAATCAATAAATAAAAAATTAAAAACAAACAAAAAAACTTCATGTCAGGCAATCGATGTGATCCAATACAGAATCAGATTCCAGTATGCTTCATACTTAGGGAAATGATAAAACTGCATGATCCAAAAATAAAATAAAATACTTCCAAAACGTGTATTTTTCTCAGTTGGCTTCATGGTTGCTGCTGCCACCCTGTCCCTCTGATCGTGTCAAGGTACAGCTGAATGTAGTTGCCTCCTAGGAAATGACACTCTGGTCCCTGGCTGGTAAGTCCAAAGTCGCCAGGGAGAAAGAAAAATTCACTCCTGAATCTGGATGCATCGCCACAACCACCTACAAAGGCCTCCAGCCACCCTGCTGCCCTCCTGCTCAAATGCGCCAGCACACCTGGAGCTCAGCAACTCTAACCCCCAGGCCCTGTGCTCCCCACCCCCCCAGGAAAACAAGAAGCTGGTCCCTAGCACCAAAGCTGCAAAAATCCAGGCCAAATATGGGGTAAGTTTGCAGCTGCTACAAATCTTTACATAGTAAAAAAAAAAAAGTCATATACATGTCAAAATGGCAAAGTCTGCTTTTCCACTGACGGCCCCCGCTCCAGAGCTCATGGCCTGATGTTGAAAGGGTCAGCAAACCTTTCTATCTCCTGGGGCAGCAGACTCCTCTCCCCCATGGTCTGGCAAGGGCCCTGCCCTCCAAATCCAGGCAAGGAGACCTCAATGTTAGTTCGCAAACAAAGATGTAACTCCAGATTTCAGGATAGGAGGGAGAAGGGACCGTACCCCAGGAAAAAGAAAAGACACTTTTGTTGTTGGTTAAAGCCTGTGTTTTAACCAAAGGGAATATAAATTACTCTGTGCCCCAACTAGCACTATTGTTTTAAAAAAGAGAATAAGGCCATGGCTGGGTAGCTCAGTTGGTTAGAGCGTTGTCCCAATATGTCAAGATTGTAGGTTCAATCCCTCATCAGGACACATACAAGAAGCAACCAAAGAACACATAAATATGTGGAACAACAAATCAATGTTTCTCTCTCCCTCCCCACTTCCTCTCTCTCTCAAATCAATTTTTAAAAAAAAAGAGAGAATAAGAATTTAAAAAAAGAAAGCCATACCCTATCCCAAGGCTGTCCAAGCTGCTGGGGCATGGATCAGGGCAAAGACTCTTTGAGAGGCTTTTAAGTTTGGAAAAAAACAGTCACAGGATGGAAGGAACTCTGAAATCCCTTTACCAGAGACCTAGAGAAGCAAGTGTACAGGTGTCCCCAGTCATGGGATCGCAGTTCAGAGATCCACCCGATCAGGATTCTCTTCAGAAATCCACACCCAAGCATCTCTCAGACATCATGGCCACCTCCCCAGATGCAAAGGGAAACAGAGAAAAATTCTTCAGCAGCCTCCTTCAAATCAATCAGCGCATTTGTGGAGAAAAAGGGAGGGGGGTATGTAAATAGAAATATTTGATCCAAATCAGATCCCCAGCTGAAAGGTTTGTCCCCTCCCGGGGTCCCTGGTGGGATGAGGTCTTGGGAGGCCTGCATGGCTCTCAGTGTTTGTGGCGACAGTGGATTTTGCCTTCTGACTGCTCCAGGACACCCAGCATCTCCTCGATGATGGCCCGCAGAGCCCTGCCCAGCTGGTCTGCGTTGTATGGCTTGCCCAGTGGAGGCACATGGACAAAGGCTGAGCGGCCATGACTCTGGTACAGAGAGGTGTAGTAGGTGAAGTCGCAGAGGTACCTAAGCCACAGGGCATAGGGGGCAGGAGGGAAATCAAAACACAGTCAGACTAATAGGACAACCTCCACCCCAGCCCCCTGTAAGACACCCAACCTCACTAGAATTTTAGAAGAGGGAAGGAATATTGCTTCTCCCTTCCCAGTTTGGCAAAAATTAAAAAACCTGTTGACTCCCAGTGCTGGTGTGTATGTGGGGAAGCAGGCAGTGTGACATGCTACTAGTGGGGATGCAAGCTGCCCCAGGGGAAGGCAATTCGGCAGGCTAGCAAAATAACAAAGGCACAGTCTTTACAAACTGACAGTTCCAGGTTTTAGAATCTACATTCAGGTGCTATCTCCACAAATGCACAAGAAAGATAAACAAGGTGTCTGCTGTAGTGTTATATAAAACAACAGAACAGGAAGCAACCTGCTAGGATCTGAACATTTGTGTCCCCCCAACCTCCCTCCCCCCTATATAATTCTTATGTTGAAGTCCTAACTCCCAATGTGATGGTATTAACAGGTGGGGTCTTTGAGAAGTGAGAACCCTCATCAATGGGGTTAGTGCCCTTATAAAAGAGACCCCAGAGCCCTGGCCGGTTTGGCTCAGCGGTTAGAGCGTCGACCTGTGGTCTAGAGAGACCCGGGTTCGGTTCCCGCTAAGGGCACATGCCTCAGTTGCAGTTTGTCCCCAGCCCTGGTTGTGCGGGTGGCAGCCACTCGATGTGTCCCTTTCACGTCAATGTTTCTCTCTCTCTCTCTCTCTCTCTCTCTCTCTCTCTCTCTATCTCTCTCTCTCTCTCTCTGTCTCTCTCTCTCTCTCTCTCTCCCTCCCTCTCTCCCTCCCTCCCTCCCACTCTATCTGAACAAAAAAAATGGAGAAATGTCCTTGGGTGAGGATAAAAACAAATAAAAAATAAAAGAGACCCCAGAAAATTCTCTCACCATGTGAGAATATAGCAAGAAGCCAGCCATTTGGAGGAGGGCCTTCATCAGAACACAGCCACGCCAGCACCTTGATCTTGAACTTCCCAGCACTCTGAGCAATACATTTCTCTTGTTTATTAGCTCCCCAGTCTGTGGTATTTTGTTATTGAAGCTCAAACAGATTAAGACACAACCTAAAGGTCCACTGACAGAAGAGTGGCTGAATAAACTCTGGTCTAGCCATACAGTGGAATACTATGCAACCAGTTACAAGGCATGCGGTAGATCCAGAAGAAGACAGAGAACTCACTAACACCAGTCATGTGTCCATAAGTGAAACTGAGGAAGGTAATGCTCAGGAAAAGCCATACCACATAACCCCATCCACATAAAAGCAAAGCAAAACAGGACAAAATCCTAAAGCAGCATGCCAATTGTTCTATACATGTATGGAAACATGGAGGTGATAGGAGGTTTTATAATTTAAGTCTCTGATTTAACAGAGGAATCACTAAGGGGAATGAGAGAGGGCAAGAGAATTTTTCACAATGGGAACATATGAACATATTCTAGAATTATCTGTGCAATTTATTTATTTTTTATTTACTTATTTTTATTATCTTCACCTGAGGACATTTTTCCATTTTTTGTTCTGATAGAGTGGGAGGGAGAGAGAGAGAGAAACATCAATGTGAAAGGGACACATTGAGTGGTTGCCACCCGCACAACCCAACCAGGGCTGGGGACAAACTGCAACCGAGGCACATGCCCTTAGCGGGAACCGAACCCAGGTCTCTCTGCACCGCAGGCCGATGCTCTAACCACTGAGCAACACCAGCCAGGGCTATCTGTGCAATTTAAAATTAGTTTTAGAGCCCTGACCGGTTTGGCTCAGCGGTTAGAGCGTTGGCCCATGAACCAATGAGTTGCGGGTTCAATTCTGGTCAAGGGCACGTACCTCGGCTGCAGTTCATCCCTGGCCCTGGTCCAGTGGTTCGTGAGGCAGCCTGTCGATGTGGCTCTATCAAATCAATGTTTCTCTCTCTCCCTCCCTCTCTCTCTCTCTCCCACTCTGATGATAAATAGAAAAATATTCTCAGGTGAGGAATAAAAAATAAATAAAACTAATTTTAGCCCAGCCATTGTGGCTCAGTGGTTGAGGGTCAACCCATGCACCAAGAGGTCACTGGTTCGATTCCTGGTCAGGGCACATGCCCAGGTTGTGGGCCCGATCCCCGTGGGGGCCATGTAGGAGGCAACAAGATGTTCTTTCTCATCAATGTTTCTATTTTTCTCTCCCTCTCCCTTTCTCTCTCTCTCAAATCAATAAAGAAAAATTATTATAAATAAATAAAACTAGTTTTAAAAAGAGACTGATAATAAATTCAGTCACTCCTATATTCAGTCAGTCAATAAATCAGTCACTGGCTGCCTTTGGGCTGGAGAAGTGTAAGAAGTGTTGGAAATCAAGGAACCCAGTGCAGAGAGGGAATCAAACAGAGGATACAACTTGGTCTGGGAGGTTGAGTAGGCCTCCCTAAGGAGGCAACATGTTGGAGCTGAGACCTTATCGAAGGGAGGCAAGTTTGGGCAGAGGTCACTGCAAGTGCAAAGGCCCTGAGGCTAAAGTGAGCTTGGTGTGTGAGGGAACGGAGGAGGCTGGTTTGTGGGACTGGAATGTAGTGGGTAAGGCAAGAGGGGAGGCAGATGAGGGTGGAGGAGAGGGTAGGGGCCAGACCCCATAGCACCTGGGGATGGTGGGGAGATTGGGATTTTATTCTAGGAGGGATTAAACAAGGAAGAGACATCATCTGACTTAAATTTATAAAAGACCTTGTAATAGTTTCCCTTCCAAATTTGGATATGGGGGTTTTGCAGATGTAATTAGGAAAGATGAGGTCATACTGGACTAAGGTGGGTCCTAAATACAATGACTGGTGTCCTTTTAAGAAGGCCATTTGAAGACAGAGGCAGAGATTGGGATGATGCATCGATAAACTAAGGAATGTAAAGCGTCGCTGGAGGCCACCACAGGTCAGGAGAGAAGCAGGGAACAGATTCTCCCTCAGAAATTCAAGATGGAACAAACTTTGCACTGGCCGTTGGTGCTCAGTGGTTAGAGCGTTGACCTGTGCACAGAAGGGTAGCAGGTTCAATTCCCAGTCAAGGGCACGTACCTGGGTTGCAGGTTCAATCCCTGGCCCCAGTTGGGTGTATATAGGAGGCAAACAATTGATGTGTCTCTCACATTGATGTTTTTCTTTCTCTCTCTTTCCCTCCTTCCACTCTCTCTAAAAAATTAATAGAAAAAGTATCCTCAGGTGAGGATTAACAAAAAAGAAAGAAAGAACAAACCTTGCTGACACTATGTTAATCCTCACCCCAGGATTTGTTGTTGTTGTTGTTGTTGTTGTTTTATCCTCGCCTGAGGACACTTTCCCATTTTTTGTTCAGGTAGAGTGGGAGGGAGAGAGAGGAACAGAGAGAGAGAGAGAAACATCGATGTGAAAGGAACACATCGAGTGGCTGCCACCCACACAACCGACCAGACCAGGGCCGGGGACAAACTGCAACTGAGGTACGCGCCCTTAGTGGGAATCAAACCCGGGTCTCTCAAGACCGCAGGTCAACGCTCTAACCGCTGAGCCAAACCAGCCAGGGCTGTTGTTGTTGTTGTTGTTAATCCTCACCCAAGGCTATTTTTGCATTTATCTTCAGATAGAGCAGGAGAGAGAGAGAGAGAGAGAGAGAGAGAGAGAGAGAGAGAGAGAGAGAAACATCGACGTGAGAGAGACATATCAATTGGTTGCCACCCGTACAACCCCAACTGGGGCCGGGGACAAACTGCTACTGAGGTACATGCCCTTAGTGGGAACCGTACCTGGGACTCCCTCCTCAGTGGGCCGATGCTCTAATCTCTGAGCCAAACCATTGATTTTTTTTTTAGAGTGGAAGGGAGGAAGAAAGAAAGAGAGAAAGATCGATGTGAGACAGACACATCAATTGGTTGCCCCCCACGTGACCCAGACAGGGGCCAGGGATTGAACCTGCAACCCCAGTATGTGCCCTTGACCAGGAATCGCACCTGTGAACCTTCAGTCCGTGGACCAACGCTCTAACTACTGAACCAGACTGGCCAGGGTCTTGCCGACATTTTGATTTTGGACTTAGCCTCCAGAACTGGGAGAGAATAAATTTCTAATTATAGATTTGTTATAGAAGCCACAGGAAAACTAATACAGAAATAGACTGCTTGGCCCCACTAGTGTGGCTCAGTGGTTGAGCATCGACCCATGCACCAAGAGGTCGCTGGTTCAGTTCCCAGTCAGGGCTCATGCTCATGTTGTCGGCCCGACCCCCAGTGGAGGGCATGCAGGAGGCAGCCAATAAATGTTGTCTCTCATCGATGTGTCTCTCTCCCCCTCTCCCTTCCTCTCTTTCTCTCTCTAAAATCAATAAAGAAAAACAATAAATAAATAGACTGCTTGGCGTAGCTGGTGTGGCTCCATGGATTGAGTGTTGTCTCAGAGACTGAGAGGTCCTGGTTCAAAACCCAGGGCATGTGCCTGGGTTGCGGGTTTGATCCCCAGTAGGGGATGTGCAGAAGGCAGCCCATCAATGTTTCTCTCTCACATCAATGTTTCTATTTCTCTCTAAAAAATCAACAAAAACATAAACAGAAAAAAAGAGAGAGAGAGAGAGAAGGAAGGAAGAAAGAGAGAAAGAAAGAAATAGACTGCTTGGAGGAGGATCATCAGGGTTGGGGTAGAATGGTTGGAGGAACACCAGGGAGTTGGCTGGAGCAGTGTCCGGATGATAGATAGCAGGGGCCTGGGTGGGGAGAAGTGGGCAGATCCGTATGAGATGAATTCTAGAAGCAGAATTAGTGGGACCTGTTAAGTGTATATATTTTGCTCTGTGACTTATACATGGTGAGTGCTCAGCCCACAAAGGTCAAAGTCAACACAGTTGGCTTGCTCAACACCAGCCTGGTGGAGGGGGGAAACCCCTGCTCACACCCTCTCCATGGTGCCCTACCTGCCGGCATCTTGCGAGATGGTCACTGACACATCCAGGCCCAGCGTCGTAACCCTCTTACATACAGCGTCCATGTCGATGATGGAGTCAATGCTTTCAGGCCCATCCTCCACGCAGCACTGGGAGCCAGGGCAAAAGCGACAGTTGTCCAGCCCTTTGTAGCCCTTGTTGTGGCCGCACTTTTCGAGTGTGACTGTGGTTGCCATGCCTGACACACCCACATGCACCACTAGCTGCAGACAGACAGGCAGTGCTTAACAGGGTCTGTCCATGGGACTAGAGGACCCCTAAAGTCAAGGTCTGCCCAGGATTACACTGTTTCTGACCTCTTGCTGCTGGAATAGACCCTACAGTCACTATTGCAGAAAGGTATGCCAAGTGAAACACAAGGATGTAAAACATGCAAGGATGTTCACTGCAGCTTTTTAATACAATCAAATACTGGAAAACACATAATTAATTATTTGTGGGGGCTGGTTAAATAAATTATGAATTACTATGTAGCTGTTAAAATGTCCAAAGCAGTTCTATAAGGAATGATCTTTAAAACATATTGCCAAATGCAGAAGATTAGGTATAACTTGTAGGAATCTAGCCTAAAAATAATCAAAGATGTAATAATCTTTCAATGCTCACTTCTGTGTTATTTATAAAAATGAGAAAAACCATGGAAACAAGTGACATACTCAATAATAAGAGAATGGTTATATCAATTACTAAAAATTGCCCAGTGATTAATATAATGCTGAGGGAGAATTTTTTATCACCTGGGTGATTAAATGTTCATAACAAAATATTTATAACAAGCAGGATATCACCCGGCCAGTGTGGCTCAGTGGATTGAGTGTTGTCCCATGGACTGAGAGATCCCTATTTTATTCCCAGTCAGGGCACATGCTCGGGTTTGGGGCTCAATTCCCAGTGGGGGGCGTGCAGGAGGCAGCCAATCAATGTTTCTCTCTCACATCTATGTTTCTAACTTTCTCCCCTTTCCTCTCTCTCTAAAAAATCAATAAAAACATATTTTTTAAAAAGCTGGATATCAAATTGAATACAGTTTAACTTCATCTATCAATTATTGATGTGTATGCTTATACACAGAAGGGGCATTGTAAGAAAATATGTGAACATTTAAAATATAGGCAGACGGCCCGGGCAGTGTCGCTCAGTGGTTGAGCATCGACTCATGCACCAAGAGGTCACTGGTTCGATTCCCAGTCAGGGCACATGCCCAGGTTGTGGGCCCAGTCCCAGAGGGGGGGTGTTCAGGAGGCAGCCATTCGGTGTTCTCTCTCATTGGTGTTTCTATCTCTCGTTCCCTCTCCCTTCCTCTCCAAAATTATTCAAAGAAAATAAATTAATTTAATTAAATAAAAAAATATAGGCAGACAGAGGCCACACATGGCTGTTGAGCATGTGACATATGGCTGGTATAAATCGAGATGTACAGTCAAATGTAAAACATACCAGGGATGCAGAATGGTGCAGCCACTATAGACAAAAATATGGTGTTTCCTCAAAAACTTAAAAATGGAACTGCCATTTGACCCAGTGATCCCACTTCTAGGAATATATCCTAAGAATCCTGAAACACCAATCAGAAAGAATATATGTACCCCTAGAAGTGCTATTTACAATAGCTAAGATCTGGAAACAGCCCAAGTGTCCATCAGTAGACGAATGGATAAAAAAGCTGTGGTACGTATACACAATGGAGTACTATGCAGTTGTAAGAAAGAGAGATCTTTTATCCTTTGAGACAACATGGAGGGACCTGGTAAGTATTAAGCTAAGTGAAATAAGCCAATCAGAGAAAGACAAATACCACATGATCTCACTTATTTGTGGGATGAACAAAATAAGCTGATGAACAGAATAGACCCAGAGACATAGAAGTAGGGTTCAGACTGACAAACCTCAGAGAAGGGGGGGGGGAGAGATAAATCAAAGAACTTATATGCATATATGCATAACCAATGGACATAGACAACAATACTATGAAGCGGGTGAGGGAGCGGGGAGGAGGGTGTCAATGGGGGAAAAAAAGAGAAACATCTGTAACAAAAATAAATTAATGAAATTTGTTTTGGGGTAAAAAACACCAGATTTTCAATGCTGGGTACAAAAAAATGTAAAATGTTTCATTAGTGATTTTTTTCAATCCTCACCCGAGGATATTTTTCCATCTATCTTCAGACAGAGGGGAAGGAGAGAGAGAGAGAGAGAGAGAGAAAGAGAGAGAGAGAGAGAGAGAGACAGACTGGCTGCCTCCCACATGCATGACCCTGACAAGGGCCGGGTACCAAACCTCAATTGAGGTACGTGCCCTTGATCAGAATCGAAACCATGATTCTTTGGTCTGAGAGCCAATGCTCTAACTGCTGAACCGAACCGGCCAGGGCTCATTAGTAATTTTTTTAAATGTTGATAGTGCCCTGGCCAGTTTGGCTCAGTAGTTAGAGAGTCCGCCTCAGGACCAAAGAGTCCCGAGTTCAATTCTGATCAAGGGCATGTACATTGGTTTCAGTCTGCGGTTCGTCTGGGCCCTGGTCAAGGTCGTGCGGGAGGCAGCCAGTCAATGTGTCCCTCTCACGTCGATGTTTCTCCTCTCTCTCTTCCTCCCTCCTACTCTATCTGAAAATAAATAGAGAAATATCCTTGGGTGAGAATTAAAAATAAATAAATTAGCCCTGGCCGGTTTGGTTCAGCGGTTGGAGCGTCGGCCTGCGGTCCGGAGATACCCGGGTTCGGTTCCCGCTAAGGGCACGTACCTCGGTTGCAGTTTGTCCCCGGCCTGGTTGGTAGTGCAGTGGCAGCCACTCGATGTGTCCCTTTCACATCAATGTTTCTCTCTCTCTATCTCTTCCTCTCTCTCCCTCCCACTCTATCTGTACAAAAAATGGAAAAATGTCCTCGGTTGAGGATAAAAAAAAAAATTTTTTTAAAAATTAATTAATTAAATGAAATAAAATGTTGGTTGCATGTGATGGAAGCAGGAACAAAACTCCACAAATCATCCCGGTGTGGGGTGCCCATCTGTAGGTCCTGATGAGGAAACACCTGCCTTTTCCCCACTCACCTGTGGGCTATGCTTTTCCCACAGGGCAGGGATGAGCCTCTGAACTGTCTGGTACTCAACTGGAATCTCATACACGTGCAGGTCCACACTGTCACCAAGGCCCAGCTTCTCCAGCTCCTGAAAGGGATGGACACGGCATTAGGTGAGGGCTGCAGTGACAATGTGTTCCCTGGGGATAAACTGATCCTCAGAAAACAGGTGGGTCCTGGCTGGTTTTGCTCAGCGGTTAGAGCGTCGGCCTGCGGACCAATGAGTCACGGGTTCGATTCTGATCAAGGGTTCGTACCTCGATTGTGGTTTGTCCCCAGCCCTGGTTGTGTCATGTGACATGGAGGCAACCAGTCAATGTGGCTCTATCACATCAATGTTTCTCTCTGTCTCTCTCTCTCTCTCCCTCCCTCCCACTCACTCTATCTGATGAAATAGAAAAATATTCTCAGGTGAGGAATAAAAAAAAGAAAAAAAGAAAAAGGAAACAGGTGGGTCTCCTGACTCTGGGCAGAGTGGGTAGGCAAGTGTTCTGGTCCACCCCAAAGCTTTTCACTCATTCACTTCCCCGCCCACTCTCCTGGGACTCTATCTGCACATCCATGAGCCGCAGGGGTGTGATGCTGCAGCCTCTGGAGCTAGGCTCTTGGGTTTGAACCCTGCCTGTGTCACCTTGGGCATGTTACTTAACCTCTCTGAGCCTCGGTTTTCTCATCTTTAAATGAGGATAAGAAAAGTACTTATCTCACAAGGTGGTTATAAGAATTAAATGAACAAATTCGCACTAAGAGTTCCAAGCAATGCTGAAATAATGTTACCCACTGTTACTACTGTTTTTGTTATTACATTTTCCCCTGTTACACCTGATAAGAATTATTTATAGACTTGGTGTATAGTATATAGCAGGATCTCCGTACACATTTACAGAGGCTCCCCAACTCCTTAGGGAGCTAACCATCTTGGGCATGAGGTGATTTAAGAACATCATGAATTATGCCCAGCCAGTGTGGGTCAGTGGATTGAGCATCATCCCATGGACTGAGAGGTCCCAGTTCAATTCCCAGTCAGGGCACATGCCTGGGTTGCGGGCTCGGTCCCCAATAGGGGCGTGGAGGAGGCAGCTGATTGATGTTTCTCACATGGATGTTTTTTTCTCTCTCTCTCCCTTCCTCTCTCTCTAAAAAAATCAATAAAAACATATATTTTTAAAGAATATCATAAATTATATACAAAAATGGGCTATGGATCACTGCATATACTTTTCTGGGGAAACACCAGTGCTTTCCACCAATGGTTTGCCTTGTGGGCAAAGCCTACCATCTGGCCGGCCCAAGGCACAGGGTACAGGAGGCCCAGAACCAGATTTGCTGGAAGAACAGTGATCCTGCAAGCCCAGCCTCTAGAGGACAGAGATATTTGGGGATGAAGACTTCAGCTCATTATGAAAATCTGGGCATTCATCATAGTAAAATTAGTACTCCAAATAATGATTATCAGTAGGGCTGTTTCACATTATTCTCAGATCTCATGCAGTGGTTTGAAAATGCTACCATGGGCAGATGCTATCCAGGTCTGTGGGTGGGTCCCAGGTGAAGCATTTGTGTGGCTGGCCTCGCTGAATATGCCGTAGGTGAGTTCTTGCATCTCCTCCGGCAGCTTCAGTATTTCCTTATCTGGTCACCTTGACCTTGCTATCCATGCTGCCCAACTCTGCACCCAATAACTACGGTTTACTCTGGAGGGTATCTGATGCCTGGAAAAGCAGGTCCCTCCTCGCTGATAGATAATTCCAAACTATTCCCCAAAGAGGGTGCATCAGGTCACCTGGAAACAAGGACACTTGGAGCATGGGTGGGGCATGATGGGTGTGTGTGTGTATAAGGGGGTCTCAAATGCCAATACCAGGGACTGGAACCCTGTTCCTCTTGCTAAGTCCAGTGACATGAGGGACCAGGAAGTATCCCCAGTGAAATCCCACAGCCGGACAGATGAGGGCAGAGTACAAACCTGCACCCCAAACAATGGCACACTGGTGATCTGCAGACTTCTGCTAGGACAGATGATTAGGGGAGTGAGGAGGTTATATTTTGTGTGAAATTGATTTTAAAACATTTGGCCAGCCGGTGCGGCTCAGTGGTTGAGCGTTGACCCATGCACCAAGAAGCCATCGGTTAAATTCCCAGTCAGGGCACATGTCCAGGTTGTGGGCCTGATCCCCAGTGGGGGGCGTGCAGGAGGCAGCCCAATTGATATTCTCTCTCATCGATATTTCTATCTCTCTCTCTTTAATATCAATAAAGAAAATACATTTTTTAAACATTAAAATATATAAAAGAGAAACTTCATTTCTCCTACAATCATTTTTCTCAGCCATTGGTATTTTTATTCTTCATTCTCCCCTTCCATCTAAGCCCCAACTCCCTGGACTGTGCAGTAGGATCAAAGACAGTCTTTAAAGGATTTGAGGATTCAGAGACAAAGCAGGCACCCCATCAAACCCCTGATAAACATTGGAGGTTTTAGATATGTGATCACCATTTCAGCTCCCCAATTTCATAAACATTTACCCAGTTTCTAGACACTGCAATGATTACTATGGCCACACAAACATGGACAAACCACCATTTGCTTGAGGTTTGCTGGATACACCTGAGTTTTCTTTGGCAAATCGATTTGGAGACCAACTCCCACTTTCTTCTGCCCCACGCTCTCCCAGCCTCCTGGCCTCCAAGGCAAAATCTAAAATCATATCACACCACCCTGACCAGTATGGCTCAGTTGGTTGGGCATGATCCCAGGCACCAAAAGGTTACCAGTTCAATTCCTGATCAGAGCACTTGCTCAGGTTATGGGCTTGATCCCAATAGATCAAGCTGTGGGAGGCGGCTGATCAATGTTTTGCTCTCACATTGATGTTTCTCTCTCTTTCTCCCCCTCTTTTCCTCTCTCTCTGAAAATCAATGTTAAAAATCTTTTTAAAAATAAAATCAGATCATATCACACCCTTTCCCTGTTCCCACCCTGCTATAGCTCTCTCCATGCTCAGAATAAAATTTCAACTTTCACCATGCCCATGAGGCCCTGCAGAGTCTGGACACCACTAACCTCCTTGCCCTCCTCTCCTTTTATCCCCTTATTGCTCCGTCCCCTCGAGCATGAGGTCTCCCACATACCAGGCTCAATCCTCTGCATGGAACACTTTTTCCTCCCTTTCCGGTCAGTTGACTCCTCATTATCCTTCACATTTCAGCATCCCCTCCTGGGAAGACCTCTGGACGCCCAGCCCCCTTTACATGCTCTCAGCCCCATAGGCTAGTGCCCTTACCACTGCATAGGACATGCACATAACAGATGCTTCCGAATGTTGGCTGAACAGCTGAGCAGCAAGCTTGGACTAAGAACAAACCTAGACCTAGGTGACCCTGCAAATGTATAGTATTCTCCTTTCCTTCTTCATCTGTAAATGGGGGTTTGAACTAGCTGCTGGCTGGGACCCCTCTTTCTTTTTCATCCTTTCCTTACCGTCCTAGCCAGGTAGCTCAGTTGGTTAGAGAATCATCCTGATATGCCAAGGTTGCAGGTTCAATCTCTAGACAGGGCACATACAAGAAGAACCCATGAATGCATCAATGGGTAGGGACAGCAAATTGATGCTTCTCTCTTTCAAATCAATCAATAAGAATTAAAAAATAAAAGTAAAAGTAGCTCCTCACTGCCTGGCTGGTGTGGCTCAGTGGTTGAGCATCAATCTATGCACCAAGAGGTCACTGGTTTGATTCCTGGCCGGGGCGCATGCCTGAGTTGCAGGCTTGAACCTCAGTAGGGGGCGGGCAGGAGGCAGCCCATCAGTGTTGATGCTTCTCTCATGGATGTTTCTATCTCTTTCTTCCTCTACCTTCCTCTCTCTAAAAAATCAATAAAAACATTTAAAATAAATAAAAGTAGCTCTTCACTATTCACAATCTCCAAAAAATAGAGACAGTCCAGTTGCCCATCAATGGAAGAAAGGGTAAATAAAAAACATGCCTATCCACATAGCGAAATAATATTCAGCCATAAAAAGGGATGAAGCACTGACATGCTATAAAATTAATGAAAACTAAAAACATGATGCTGAGTGAAAGAAGCCACGTAGTATATGATTCCATTAATATGAAATTTCTAGAATAGGCAAATCCATGGAATAAAGATTAGTGGTTGTCAGGGGCTGTGGGAAGGGGGTGACTGCTCATGGGGATGAGTTTTCTTTTGGGGTGATAGAAATGTTACAGAACTGGACAGAGGTAGTAGTTATACAACATTGTAAATGTGCTAAATGCCACTAAATTGTATACTTAAAAATGGTCAATTTTATGTTATATAAACTTCATCTCAATTTTAAAAGAAGAAAAATGTAGCTCTTAATTGCATGGATGGTGGAGGGTAGGAGTCAAGGGAGAACAAAAAGTTAAAAGTAAAGAAAAAAATTAAAAATCAGCCCTGGGTGGTGTGGTTCAATGGTTAGAGCTGTGGCCCTCACACCAAAGGGTTGCCAGTTCAATTCCCCTGGCCCTGGTCAAGGCGGGAGGCAACCAATCAATATGTCTCTCTCACACTGATGTCTCTCTCTCCCCACCCCCCCTTCCACTCTCTCTAAAATGAAAACCAATGGAAAAAATCTTCTCAGGTGAGGATTAATAAACAAACAAAAAAAGCAAAGCAACTTCTGGCTGAAATTAAACTGTGGGAATCAGATTTATCCTCTGGTCTGGAACTACTGAAAAAATAGACAAAATATGTAAAATAATAGTTTTCAGACACTTAGTTGAGTTAAAACTGAGGTTCTAGAAAAGGTAAGAAGGCTGCAGTTTGGAGGGTAGAGTCCCAGATAGTTGGGGGGAGAGGAAGCAAGAAGGAGGGGAGAGGCAGGAGTATAGGGCTGAGGAAGAGGGAGGGAGGGGGATGGAAGGAAGGAAAGAAGGAAGAAAGAAAGGAAGGGAGGGAGGGAGGAAAGGGGAAGGAAGGGAGATACGGAGATTTTTTGAGGGTCTGAAGACTGATGGACATATACATGTACTGAAGCCAGAGATAGAGCTATTTGAAAGGATCAGAGCGACCAACCCTCAGAGTTCACACAGGGCCAAAAATAC